ACTGAAATGGCAAAAATTCCCATGCCTTTGGGCTAAAGTCTCGAATTGTTCAAGCACCTTGCGATGCCTCTGCTGTTCAATGAGTCGATCTATCCCCCACAGCTGCAGAGATAACTTTTTTAACAAGCCTTTCTAAAAATCCAGATACATCAAATCAACATCTATACCCTCATCTACATAAGCAGTAACTTCTTTAAAGAATGTCAAAAGATTTGTAAGGCAGGATTTTTCCATATTGATATCGTGCTGACTATCCAATAAACTTTTAAACTTTGTTAAATAACTTTGCAATGTATCTTTTATCAGACTTTCCAAAAAATTTTCCTACCACTGATGTAAGACTAATAGGCCTACTGGGACAGTATTTATCACCTGTCTTGAAAGGAGAAGTAACATTAGCTAACATCCAATCCTCTGGCAGCAGCCCACTGTTCAAAAACTTCCAAAAAGTAGCAGCAAGTGGCTCACATATCCAATCCTTAACCTTCTTCAAAACCCTTGGGGAAATATTATCTGGCCCAGGAGCCTTATCGTTCTTTAAACTTCCCAACTTTTTCTTAACAAGCTCAGAATTAATGTGATAATCTTGTTTCCATCTATCTACAGTTCAAGATGAGGAATATTGCTTAAATCTTCATTTGTAAAAACTGAAGAAAATGCAGAATATAATGACCTAACCATCTCATAATCATTAGATATGAGCCTTCCTTTATCATCGCTCAAAGGTCCTATCCCCATCCTAACAATGTGTTTGCCCTTAATGTACTTAAAGTACTTGATGTATATGCTGTTAATTTTTACATTTTCAACCAACCTTTTCTCTTACATTCTTGTTTCATACATATAATTCTTTCATTTCATATAATGTTTTTTATACATCCTTTTTGATGTCCTAATTCCCTGTTTGGCCAACTTTCCTGATCTTCTATAATCTTCAAAATCTTCCAACTTACCAGTCAATTTAAATTTATGATACTTTTCTTTAATTTTATCCCTTGTACCCTTTGTGAGCCAAACTGGGTTTTTACTTGCAGCTGCTCTTTTCTTTCTATAATGAGTATATGTTTATCTTGAATATTTAAAAATTTTCCACATTTGATCAGTGTCTCCATGTAACTCAGCTGGCCAATTCATAACAGATGATTCTTGTTGCATCCATTCAAAATAAGCTCAATATCATTATTCCTGATCTCCACATGCAGCAAAACATCAAATCTAATAGAGCAATGATCACTTGCACTCGGATGTTCCAAATTTCCACCCTCTCAGTGATTTCTATATTTGAAGTTATCAATAAATCTAAAATAGCATTGTTTCTAGTAGATTCCTTGACTAATTAGTGAAGAAAACCATCTTGAACAGCTTCCAAAAACCCTTCTCCCTCATGGTTTAACTCTAGCATTTCCAATCTATATACCTGAAATTAAAATCAACCATAATTATAACCTCATTAATAGCTGAAATCTTAATCTCACTGTACATTTTTACATTAATTTCATCTGTGTCATCTGGTGGTCTGTTAAAAATTTCCACTAAAAGCCTTTTCATTTTATATCCACTAATAGCAACCCAAATGGATTCAGTCTCTTTGCTATTGTCTTTGATATCCTCAACTTCAACAGGATGTAACTCACATTTTATGTATAAAGCCACTACTCCCAATTTCTTCAGTATTCTATCCCTATCAAATAACCTATAAACCTGTATTTCAAAGAAATTTCTGTAATCAAAATTGGCTACATTTAACCATGTTTCAGTTATTCCAATTGTATAAAAATCCTCCATTCCTTATAGTGTCCTAAAGTCATCTATTTTATTTCTTATACCTATAGCATTATAATAATAATAACAATTAAGCTTATTCATATAACTACTTCTATATTCATTTCCTCTGCTAAACTTCTCTATGTCTTTGTCCTCACCTCTGTCTAGACCTAATTTAAAACTTCCCTTATAGCTGAGTTAATAGCCCTTGGAAACATGACAGCCCCTACCCATTTAAATATAAACCATCCATTCCAAAAAACTCCCTTCTCCCAACTAATCCCTCAAGTCCAACCAGCCAATTTGCTCAGTTTCATATTAACCTAATCCTAGCATTCAGCCCTAGTGACCTAATTCTCAGCAGTATTCCTTACACAAGTTATGGCCCTTTTCTTTAAATGCCTTTATCAACCCCTTGTACTTATCAATTAGCTCCTCTGACATACCTTTCCCTACATCATTATCCTCTACAACCACAATAAAAACTGCATCTCTGCTAGCCCCCTTTATTATATCTCTTGCTCTGTCAGTTATATCCTCCACCTGTGCCCCCTAGGTAGCAAAATCTAATTCTTTTCTCCCTATTTACCCCACAGACTATCCTATCCATACACCTTGTCAAAGAATTACCTATGGTTATAACCTCCTTAAGTTTATCATTCACATACTTCTCTGTCCCTTTTGTTTTCCTTCTCTCCAATAGTTCCTCATCTGCATAAGCTAAGGACTGAAATCTGTTGCTTAACAGAACATGCTCATTACAATTAAATCCACTACTTTTACTCTAATAATATTATTTCTAACTTCCTGAAAGTCATTGTTAGCTGATGTATCCCTTGCATGTAAAAGTTTAAGTTCTTCTTGAAATCCTGCTGCAATTGCCCACACTTTACACTTCTCTTTATTCATTGCCTCTACTTCAATTAGAATAGCTTTTAACTACTCCTCCACCCTGTAAGTTCTACAAACAAATTGTACATCTTTACTACTAGCTTCCTTAAAAAGACATACCAGTCCTGAGTTCCTAAATAAAACTCACTCATTGAATCCATCACACCAAACAAAATGAGAAAGACATTGAATTGTTGGAAAAGATTCAGTGGAAGGCTGCTAGGATGATACATGGAATTGAAAGGTTGTCATACAAGGATAGACTAAGATCTCTGAAATTGTTTACTTAAGTTAATGGTAAGAATGGAAGGACTAGGTGACACAAATATACATTTTGACATGGTAGGAGTCATCTTCAACTAAGACAGTTTTATTTTTTTAACAGAGTGGTTGGCCTTTGGAATGGGCTCCCTTCATAGACAGTAAATTTAACTTTAAGTGAATTTAAGAGAAAGTTTTTGATAACTATATGAATGTTAGGGGCTGGCTTTGAGGTTTTATTTTATTTTTTGATAGTTTAGTTTAGAGGATGGGACAGCCTAGATGGATCAATAGGTCTTTTGTTGTCCCAAAAAATTATGTTATGTTATGAATGGTAACCAGACAATTAGACACCTAAAAAAATGTAGAAGTAGAACATTCAGATATCTAATCATTTTAAAGGGGTATTAAAACTTTTAAAACTTCACAGCATACTTAAAATTAAAGGAAGAACTTGCTGATTTACAACATATTTGTGTAGTTCTCGGGTTACCATGACGGTCATATAATGGAGTAAATCAAATTTGTAATATAACAAACCTAGATCTATGTAGGTCAAATAATGAAGTAATTTAAAATTTTAATAAAATAGGCCTAGATCTATACAGTTCATATAATGGAGTAAATTAAACTGATAATGTAGTAGGCCTAGATATATACAGGTCACATAATGGAGAAAATTATAGTTCTATTTTATAATAAACAAGTGGTGTCTAAAGGTTCTACTTTGTCCTTTTTTTTTTAGGTGTCTAATTATCCGATGCCTAGTTGTCCTGGATTTGTTGGGATTAGTTTGTTTGTAATTAAGCACAAAGCTACACAATGGGCTATCTGTGCTCTGCCCGCCACGGATGTCGAAACCCGGCTTCTAGGGTTGTAAGTCCGCAGGCATATTGCTGTACCACTGGGGGGCGATTTGTTATGAATAAATACTCAACACTAAATACCAGTAGCCTATTAACAACACTGCTGTTTGAGAATCAAATATATTACATATTTACAGTATTTTATCACTACTTTATCTTCACACTAAAGTAATTAAGTTTATCTTTAATTATATAGAAGTAACAAATAACTAATCTTTACTTTAGTTGATATCTATGTTGTGTAATAATACAATGTATTTAGCCTAATTCATAACATACTTGTAAAAGTAAAAAGTATGAGCTGAATTTAAACTAGTAGATCTAAATTAGTGTTTCTCACTCTCAGCCGGATTTGCCAGACGACCCCGCGTTCGGGCTTTGGTCGTCAACCTCCCATTATCTATACAAGGATGAAAACATTATTTGTGTTTCATGGTGCAGTTCGTCATGGTTCATAACAAAGGTGATATGTGCACGTCGAAGACTCAAAATATTTTTTTATTCCGTGCAGACAGCTCCAGACCTCCTTGAGAGTCGCGACCCACTGTTTGAGAAACACTGATTTAAAGTCAAGTACAGCTTGGAAAAAAAAAGAAAACAGTTTTTGAAGTGTTAAGCATCAGATGTATCGAAACTTTAAGTCTCAGTTAATAAAACAAGTACTAATATGAAAAATATTGTACTTTTGTTATAACTTCTAAAATTATAATAAACCGCATAGGTGCTTCTTTATGAAAAGCATTTGTAATCCTACTATATGCCTTTATCAAGCATAATATCTATTTCTCTCTCTCGTTGTAAAAGTGTTTTCTGTTTGTATGCATCCTTTTGCGATATTTCTTTTCTGTGTGTTAATAACATATTTTATAATTTAAAAATTACAAATTTGTAATTTTTTTTATGCAATTTGTGAAAAACAAATAAAACTCAATTTATTTTACTGTCTTCCCCTGGTGGTTATGCGGAAAGCACTTTCACTATTTGATATAGCCTCGTGACCGGTGTATATATGACATTGTTGTTTAGATCATCTTCGTGTTATTTTGCTCAGTTTCAGAAACAGAAAATCTTTTCTAGAGGTTTCGTGTTTGTTATGGTTTCATAGTGTAATGCAAACGATAGAATGAAACATCTAAATATAGTGACTTAGTCTGCATTTTATAGTTAATCGACAGCGTTTAGTTGCGGATAGACTGTACGTTAGCGTTGGTAGAACTACTAGTAGTAGTAGCTATTTTCCATATAGATATTGCTGCGTGTCCGCTTCAGCGCTACTGCTACTAGTACTAGTGAAACAGAGTTTACCGAGACACACCCTTTGGTTCTGCTGCAGTGCTGGTGCTAAAACTAAAACCAACATTGAGCTATGCTAGAACGTAAGAAAATTTGTTAATCGTATGTTTCCGAAAACATTCTGTGGTGTGACAATTTAAAAAAAATTTTCAATATATAATAACTACAACTAGTACAAGTATGCCACAAATAGAAGTTTGCTTTAAACTATAAAGTTTAATACTGCTGAAGTTTCATAGAATGAAAGAAAACTAAGATTAGTAAGAACATAAAACGGTTCGTTATTTTTGCATCTAAGTGCAAAACTAAGTAAAACTAAAAATGTTTGAGAGTATTGTAGTAGACTTGCTCAACAGATTTCTTGGAGATTATGTTGAAAATTTGGATCGTTCGCAGTTAAAGCTTGCAATATGGGGAGGTGATATCACTCTGAAAAATCTTGATATCAAACAGAATGCACTGAATGAACTAGATCTTCCAGTAAAAGTTGTTTCAGGTCATTTGGGTGAACTTGTTCTAAAGATTCCATGGAAAAACATTTATTCAGCTCCTGTTACTGCCAAAATTGATGGATTATATGTTGTTGTTACTCCAAATGCTAGTCAGAGGTACAATGAAGATAAAGAGAAGAAAATGGCCCAAGAGGCAAAAAAAAAAGAACTTCAAAGAATTGAGGATGCAAAAGCTAGGGAAGCACAGAAAGATAAAGACAAAGAGCAGAAGCAAGATACTTTTACAGAAAAGCTGGTCACCCAGATAATTCGCAATTTACAGGTGAAAATTATGAATATTCATGTTCGGTATGAAGATAATTTCACTAATCCTGCCAGTCCCTTTGCTGTTGGTATATCTCTTCATAGCTTGTTTTTTGAAACAACAGATGAGAATTGGAAACCATGTGTCATCCAGGAAGCTGTAAAAATGTTTAATAAGCTTGTGACTTTAGATAGTTTGGGAGTGTATTGGAACAGCAATGTAGAACTTCTCAGTGAAATGAACTATGCTGACAGGAAAAGTGCAATGATACGAATTATTGCTTCCAAGGAATATAAGCCTATGAATGTTTCCTATCTGCTTGGACCTATAAGCCTTACAGCAAAAATGATATTAAATCCAAAACCAGAAACTGATGGGTCAAATTTTTCCATTCCTAAAGTTCAGTTGGACATAACAATTGAGGATATTGCCATTGGAATGAGTAAATCACAATATCAAGATGTTATACGACTCTTAGAGGCTCTGGATCGAATGACATTAGCATCTATGTATAAGAAATACAGACCAGATGAACCTTACAAAGATAATGCAAAAGTATGGTGGAAATTTGGTGTTACTTGTGTTCTCGAAGAAGATATAAGAAGAAGACAAAGAAATTGGTCATGGGTACACATGCAGCAGCATCGAACAACTTGTCGTAAATATAAAGAACTGTATAAACAAAAACTTATGTCCAAAAAAATATCACAAGGTATTCAACAACAGATTGATGAATGTGAAAATGAACTGGATATTTTTAATATAACCATTATGCGAAAACAAGCAGAAGTGGAAGTTTCACGTGAAATGAAAAACAAAGCATCACAGTCTGGTGGGTGGTTTAGCTGGTGGTTTGGTGGAGGTCAGAAAGCTCAAGAAACAACTGCTGGTGTTGGAGGGGAAATTGTTAAAAAAATTGATGATGCTATGACAGAACAAGAAAAGGCACAACTTTATGAAGCCATTGGTTATCAAGAAAATGCTGCTCCAGCAGAGTATCCAAAGGAGTTCATTGAAAACAAGCTATTTTTTCAATTGAACAATTTTGTCATCTTAATCAAAGATGACACAAAAACAACAAAAGAAGTAATGACAATTAACTTAAGTAATGTTTCAAGTTCAATTGAACACAGACCATCTGCAGAGGCAATCAAAGTGGGTGTGCAGTTGGAAGGTTTTACTATTAATGGAGTAGTATCATCAAATGGAAAAAGACCACAAATGGTAAAGGTTGAAAAATTAGGTACACCAGAAAAGAGTGCTTTGCTTCAAGTGCTCTTTGAAACAAATCCTTTAGACCAGTCATGTGATCAAAGACTAAATTTGGCAACAATGCCACTGGAAATAGTTTATGATGCTTGTACCATAAATGACTTGATTGAAGTATTTAAGCCTCCTCAAACAGTATCACTTTATCAATTGCAGGCTGCTGCTGCAATAAAACTGGAAGATTTTAAGGAGCAATCAGCACTTGGATTACAGTATGCTATTGAGCAGCACAAGAATTTAGATCTAAATATTGACATCAAACCTTCTTATATTGTCATTCCAGAAAATGGAGCTTTTGAAAAAAGTCCAAATCTTTTGGTGATTAACCTTGGAAATTTTCAAATGCAGTCTATCAAAACAGAAATAGGAGATTCAGTATCAGTCAAAAGTTTGGTTAAAGCAGGAAGTACAGATAAAGAAGTTTTGGAAGCAATGATTACTCAAGCATATGACAAGTTCCATATTAGCATACAGAACATAAGTATATTACTTTCCAGAGCTGACACTGATTGGAAAAGCCTAACAAAAGAAGAAATGTCAGACACTCATTTGTTACATCCAGTTTCTGTGGATGTCAACTTCATGAAAGCAATAATAGCAGATGATCCTCGGATGCCCAAAATTAAAATCTCTGGAGAACTACCACTTTTGAATCTATCTGTATCTGACCAGAAACTAAAGAATTTGATGAAACTTGGACAGAGTATTCCACTTCCTGAAAATCAGCCAGAACCTAAAGTAGAAAATATAGAAGTTACTACTACTGCTTCAAAGGATGGTGCTCAGGTACAAGCTAAAGCTCTAAAACAAGTCACTCGGCCAGAAACATTGGTAATCCATGAGGAGCAGAGTGAAGATAAGGAGGAAACTGGAATAAAGGAAAAAGATGCTGGTCAGTTTACTGACCTTCAATTAAATTTTGAGATAAAAAGAATAGCAATTGACATATCTCACCAGGTAGGTGGGAAAGAAAAAGAAATGATAAGTTTTGGTATTCATAGACTTGGAACTAGTGTCTGTATGCGCACTTTTGACATGAGTGTAGATGTTCTGTTAGGTGGAATTTCTTTGGAGCATAAGGAATACTCAACACCAGATGGAAAAGAACTTTACCTGCTTAACACTCCATTGACTTCCAGTGAATCAAGTAACCTCTTAACATTACAGTATGTGCAGGCTGACAAAAAAGGACCACTTTTTACTACACACTATGAATCCACAGTACAGAGGATTATTGTCAGATTTACACAACTAGATATAGTTTTACACCAGGATGCTTTACTCTCTTTAATGAAATTTACAACTAACCTAACAGGAGAGTTGCAGCAACCTAGACAACCACAGAAACCAGCAGTAATGGCTAGTGCTTCAGAGGTTTCAGCAGAAAAGCAAATTGTGCAAAAATCAAAAGAAGAAATGAAGCCCTTTAAAAAGAAACCTAAAGATGATGGTGTTATTGATATAAAACTTGATGCTAATTTATCTTCTCTGGGGATTTCAATTTGTACCAGTAAAATTAAAATTACCAATATGCAGATCAGAGGATTAGATGCTCAAGTGAAAGTTCTTAAATCTAAAACAATGTTAGTTGCTTGCTTGAAAGAGCTTTTAGTTACTGACTCAACAACAAATGCTGCATATCCAAACATCCTGTCTACTGTTAGTGGAGATCTTTTGAATGTGGACGTTGTCGTCTTCAATCAAGCAACAGAAGATGAAAATTATTCAGACATGTCAGCTGTGGACCTGAAACTGAAGTTATCTCTTGGAGCAATAAAACTTGTTTTTCTAAATCGATATGTTTCCAAGATACTGAATTTTATTAGTGAGTTTGATACAGCAAAAGAAAAGGTAGCAGAGGCAAGTGTGGCAGCAGCAGAGATGGCCAAACATGGGCTGGAAGATGCATATGAAAAGGCAACAAGAGTTTCATTAGATATACACCTTAAAGCTCCTGTTATAATAATTCCACAAAATTTTAGTTCTCAAACAGTTCTTGTAGCAGACTTAGGAACACTGAAATTGTGCAATAAGTTTGAAAAGGGGAATGTGACTAGTGAAACAGGAATGCCAGCAGTATTTGATAAGCTGTTTTTGGAATTTTGTAATTTGAAACTTTCTACTGCAGTTGTTGATACTATATCAGGAAATATTCTAGGAGAAGCTACTTTGCTGGAACCCATCAATATGAGTTTGGAAGTAACTCGTAACCTAGCAATAGGTTGGTTTAAGAAGGTCCCAGAAATGGACATCAAAGGAAAGCTTGCTGCTGTCAAGATGATTATAAGTCAAGAAGATGTCACTATTATTATGAAAATTTTGGGTGAAAATCTTGGTGATGTAGAACCAAGTGATTCTTCATTAGAATCTTTGAATAAAGGTACAACAATTGAAAAACCTACAAACCAAAAGGAAGTACCTGTACAACAACACCTAGAAGAGAAGGCAAAAGATTCTGATTCTATTCATCCAGTTTTTAAAAAAATGACATTTGCTTTTCATCTGGACAGTTTAATGGCTTGTTTGTTTGAGGGAAGCTCAGAACTTTCTTCAGGGTTTTCAAAAAGGAATCCTGAATGTGCACTGGCTCAGTTTGAGCTCTTGACCATAGCAGTAAAAGGAGAAATGCTGAGTGATACCTCTCTTTGGGCAAATGTCATTCTTGTGAACTGCATCTTAGATGACAAGCGATCTATCAGAACTAAGGGAATCACCAGGTTAATGCAGTGTGTTTCAACCGAAGATGATATTCAAAATATGATTGATGTTACTTTTCGACAAGAGTCAAGTTTAGACAAATTTCTGGATGCCAGAATATCAAGTTTCAATCTAATTGTTAACTTGGGTTATTTGATGGCATTGGGAGATTTCTTTTTAAAAGCTATGCCAGAAAGTCCTCCACCAAAACCTACTACCACCACTTCATCTACAGAATTAAAGTCTTCAGTTGTTTCAGATCAGGTAGTCAGTGTCCCTAAAGCAAGCACAACTATAAACCTACAAATTAAACAGCCAGATATAATACTAATTGAAGACATGGAGGACTATAATTCTAATGCTGTTATTCTGAACCTTCAAATGGTTGCTAAAGTTCGATCATCACCAGACTCTCAAATAATTTCTGGCTCACTTTCCAGGCTTCAACTTTTTACAGCATGTTTTAATCCTGAATTGAGATCCCAAACAACATCAGAAATTTTAAGTCCCTGTGACATCAGTCTTCACTGCAGTTCACCAGGCATGAAAGGCCAACATGTGAATATTGAATTCTCGAGTATTCTTCTTAATGTTTCTCCAAACATTATATTTATATTAACAAAAATTCTGTCAGGCCTGTCTCCACAACAAAGTTCAGAAGAGCTAGAAATAAATAAGCCTTCTCAAGATTATTCTAATTTGTGGTTGGCAAAAAAACTTGAAGAATGTTCTTTTTGGTTTCTAGAAACTTTGGATCCAGCAAAAGAAGTATTAGAAGATAGCATTTTAACTATTGATGAAGCTGTAGAGACAGATATAGATTCAGAAGTGCTTATGCTAAAAATGAGCACAATATCATTAACAGTTGCTATTGGTAGAGGAAAACAGACAGTTCCTATGGTTTTGATAGAAGCTGGTTTCCAGGCAGAAGTTCAAAACTGGAGTTCATTCCTTCATGTTGGCTCAATCTTTTTTATGGAAATTGCTTATTACAATGAAAAGCTAGCATTATGGGAACCTCTTCTTGAGCAAGTTGAACAACCAGTAGGAGGATCAAAACCTTGGGAATTAAGAATGGAAGTGACCAAAAATCCTGAATTACCAGAACCACCTGCTGAAGAGGGAGAAACAAC